TAAGACACGATCAAATAAATACCGTAGGGCAACCTAACTGCAGTAGACTTGTCCTTGTAGCGTGCGAGTGACGAACTATCGCGGCTTCCAGGCAAATGTGGCCAACAATTTGTTGTAGCAATACCCCTTTACGTTCAAACGCAGGTTTACCCTAACCTTCTATTCCCCTTCCTGTTAGTTATGACATATATCAGTTACACTCCAGTTCACACCAGCGGTTCCATTTGCCACAATCTTGAGGTTTCACGCGCTACTCCAGAATTTACATACCTTTCCCAGAATTTTTTCCAGGATGTAAACTTGAAGGTCCTAAGGACGTATATGGACGATTAATTTTTAAACTTTCTAAACTAAACTTACAAAAGATAACAGACTAAAACAACAACAACAATTTGAAAGATGATAATAAAGTAAATTTTTCACTTAACGATTGGACTAGCTTTTGTGTTATATTAGACTTTTTCACAGTATAAGATAATAAATGAAAATGTAATCTTATGTAAAGTATTAATTGTTTTGTTTAGTTTATAAATGTATCTAAACCAATAAAAAATTGTTTTGGGATTGATTCCGTAGACCTTGAAGGCAACACAACGGTCCTATGATTTGACGGTCATGAAGGACGAGAACAAAGGTCCTGTTGGTTCTCTCGAGTCTGAGACATACTGCCCGTCGGCTCGTCGGGAGGTCCTCAATCAGTGTAGGGGTACCGCTCGGAAAAGACGTTGGCTTGGTCTCTCACTCGAGGAAGTTATGGACGTGTATAATAGGGTCAAAGGTGTGAAGTGGAGTTGATACATTCTAAAAAAGAGGTAATAATAAAATTGTACTTTAGACTATAAAATGTGAAAGATTAATGTAAAATTGAAGTTTACATTATAATGTTTAAAAGAGAGGATTGTATTGTAAACTTATTTACAGTAAATTGTAGAATGTAATAATTATATATGTGTGTAAGAAAAAATCTTTATAGGTTGGGAAGTTAGACGATAAACTTTAGGTTGTAGCGAGACGTGTGAACGGATCCTCCTTGTAGAACACACCTTTGAGTTCAAGTAAACATCCCGACGCGCTCATACCGGTTTTCATACGCCCACTTAGAGTGGCATTTGATAAGTTAATACTGGTCTAGTATTTGAGGTCGGAAATACGTGTGTTGATGTCAATTACGCACAAATCTTCTTTCGCTCGAGACACAATGTTCTGCCCAGCCCACGTAACCCGTCGGTGGCTCTGAAGAAATCGTCCCTCTTCGACGGACTCCGTCTCTGGTGCAAGTAAATGATTCCCGTCTTTTTTCCCGGCCTAATAGGCCAGTGTCGTCTAGTCGATAAGATTTCATTTCAAGTTGTGATGCTGGATTTTTTTCAGATATAATTCTTTACTTTTTCAGAATTGTGTATATAGCAAAAACATTTGATACTGTTTACACACTCCCCACTACTCTAGTCTCGTAGCAGGATACACGCGCCCGACTCGAGCGCCTGTCCGGGGCGTGTTAAAATTGGGGACGAGTATAAACGACGGTAAAATAGAAGTACTAATCTCCAGTTCTAAGGCCAGTAAGACTGAGACTGAGGTACAGTAACAAGCAAAACAAACTGAAAAATTCCGTATCTTATTGAGGACAAAGACAGTGAAAAATAAAACCAAAAGACCCCCGGTCCAAAACGCGTTTATTAAAAATTTTTTCTCGTTTCTGTACTTTACACAACTTCGTATAAGTCCCCCGACAAAAAGATTAACAACGAAACACCAAGCTGATTTTTGTAGTGTACCTTTTTGTCTGTGTTGTGTCATCAACAAACGAACGATTAAGAAGATTGTGAAGTCCAAATATCTTACTCTACTTGTCGATAAGTCGGCGTGCCAGTTGTCAACGGGTGTAATCTATGAGACCGCAGAATACCGAGCGTTACACCCGTCTCTAGAAGTCCGTCGTACAGAACACTTAAGGGCGGCTTCGGGATGAGTTTATGTTGGTAGTCACAAACGGTAAGTTTCAAGGCCCTCCGGAAAGAGGCGGACACAGAGAGACTCAGAGGTGCAACGAAGTCTTCGCAGCGTAGGTCGTTCGACGGAGAAGACAAAGGAGCGTCCAAGACACTCCACCCGCGCGTCGGACCCCCAGTCTACGGTGCAACCTCCCTGGCTACGACTCGTAGCTCCCGGCGCGAAGAGGGAAGGCGCCGGCTCTCGGAGTACAATAGCGGTCACCCCGCTGCAGTAGTTGTACTGGTGCCACCGGGCTCCAGCAGGACCGGTTGCCTCCGGACACGATACGGGACCTACGCAATGATTACATTCAGGCAGACTGTAGAATACAACCTCTTTGGACAATTTATATACTTATTGAAAACAAGCTACAAAATGTAACACCTTGGAAAATGCCGTTTAATACTTTTTAATAGCCTTCATTTTCGCTAAATTGATTTATCAACTTTTAATACTTTTTAAGGCCCCGCGGACACCCTGATTAAGGAAACAGTGTCAACATGAACACTAATGACATCAAGAACCAAGCAGCCAAGTCATTTGTTTCACAATCATTATCTAAACAGCATTGTATTGCTTCTCATACTTTATCATGTTATTGTGTCTTTGACGATCCTCAAGGAAAGCTTGCCACAGGACTTGTATAACCGGAATAACGATAAACATCCTGAATCCTGAATGTGTGTGTTTGAAAAAGCAGAGCGTTCTGGCGGTAAACTTCAAGTTAGGATGAATTATGTCCCGCATTAAATTTAATAGTTGATGAACAGTCCCTTCATAGCTATTCAGGAGTATCAACACATCAGCAGCCGCCGCCCGGCCTCTATTTTACGACGCCAACAATGGCCACCGTGGCTCTGCTGATTCAGCGAGTTTCCCCCTAGCACAGTGCCAGCCTGCAGCTCTTTCTAGAGCCTGAGTCACTCTGCTCAGCGACATGAGAACATCTGGGGTTGTGTCTCTGTATACGCTCAGCTTTGTTTTGTTCTGAAATGGAATGCTCGATTTAGAGCAATGTAATGATAAAGCAATTGTGATACGACAAAAAAAAAACGGAAAGGCAATGATCATTTTTGAGAGATTATTTACATCATCATGATTTTTTATAAAAGTATTTGCACCAAACAAGGATATTTTTTATAAAATATTTAGACGGGATGAGATTTACTTGTTTTGCCATTAACGAATATTGCGCATTCTGTGATTTGGACAATGCAATAGTAACATTATAATAATAGCATGCGGTGACAATCCCCAGCCTGTAACATTACACAGCGTTTCTACAATAGCCACAATACTAAACACAGAGTAGTGTCCTCATTAGTTAAAGGCTTTAATGAAAAGGTGAGTTTTAAGGAGTGAGTTTTGCGTTCCTGATAAATGATCGAGTCATTGTGCAGCCATAGTTCTGAATACTATTTAAATGTTAACTTAAATACATGTAGAGATCATTATGTAGCTGGGTAATAACAAAACAAAACAATCTCTAGGTGGTGCCGATTCATAGTATAACTGGATATTCCTCTATCTCTAAAGGGATTGCCGAGTCAAACCACAATTATTTCAGACATCCAAAATATGAACGTGCCCATCGATGGAAATCTTTTAAGTTGATGCCCAACCCAATCTGTTGCTCATGACTCTGGCATTGGAAGTCAATAGTTAAATATCCAGCTGCACCCTGGTGATCATCAGTAGCAGCAGTGTGTGGGACAAACTCAGCCAAACACACTCACCCAAACACACTGCCTGTTGATGCTACAGAAATTAA